CTTTAGCATCTCGGGGGATCAGGACGCCTCCTCCTGCCACGCGAGCCCCTCCCGTGTCAGCCCCACGTCCCACCGCCACCCGTGCCGCCAGGGACCTGCCTCCTGGGCACAGCCTTCCTGTGAGCACAGCCACCTTCCGAAAGAACCGGGAACAGGCCTGGCTGTGGCCTTGTCTTCCTCCGGGGTCTGTGCCTTGTCCGTTCTCTTCTGTCGCCCTCAGAGCTCCCGAGGGAAGCCGCACTCGGAGCCTCTGCTAAGATCCCACTGCAAATGGGGCCACACTCCTCCACGGCCGGGCTGGCTGCCGGCTGCTGGCTGCCGGCTCCCAGCTCCCGGCTCCCGGCTCCCTCCTGGCTCCCGGCTCCCTCCCTGCTCCCTCCAGGCTTCCTCCAGGCTTCCTCCAAGCTCCCAGCTCCCAGCTCCTGGCACAGCCTCACTCATTGCTTGCAAATTAGCCAACTGCCTTTCTCTTCTAAAGGCAAAGTCAGAAGACGATATGTATAAGGTTCTAGAACCTGGGCTGCGGGGTTTGCTTTTTATAATCGATTTTAGAGAGAGAGGGAGAGGGAGAGAGAAACGTTGATGTGAGAGCAAAACATGGATTGGCTGCCTCCCGCACCCCCACGACTGGGGATCGAGCCTCAACCTGGAGCATGTGCCCTGACTGGGAATCGAACTGGTGACCTCTGGGTGCGTGGGCCGATGCCCAGCCCACTGAGCCACACCGCCAGGGCCCAAATGCTTTCTAAACATCCAGCCAACTCGTCGACCTCCCCAGCCCTCAGCAGGCAAACGCCCCAGTCAACCTGCCCCCTCGCATTGAGGCCACGTGTGCAGACTCTCGAGAGATGACGACGATCGTTTGTTTACAGAACAACTAAACGGGAACATTCCGGCGTTTTAACTGCCTGTGCTCGGTCCCAGTCATTGGGAGCATCCGCTCAGCTCGGGCGAAGTGACTAACTTCTCCTTCATCACAGTGTAACGGATCCTTCCCACACTCACCCGCCTGACAAACGCTTCAAAGGCAGGGATGGAAGACGGCTCTGATTGGTACACTCACGTTTCCCTAAACTGCAATCAGTGGGGAGGACATTTATCAGTGAAAAACATAAATATTCAACATCATGGAAACAGCTCCATTTTGTTCCTGTCAGAGAGCGTGAGTTACTTGAAAATCATGAACCCTGGAGTGTTTCATCCTCTTGGTTAGGACCTGGTCGCGGCCGTGGCTAAGCCTCATGACCCGCTTCCCGCCCGTATCCGGGCCCGGGGACAGCTCTCCTGCGCCCCCGCCCCCTCAATCCCGCCTCAGCGTGTGCGCTGCTGGTGCCAGCGGCCTGTGGACATGCGGGACTCACACAGAGCAGCCTCACTCGTCCGTATCCTCTGAGTGTGTCCAAGAAAGACTATCAAAAGGACAGCTCTGTGGCTAAAGATAAAGCTTGAAAAGTACTTCTCTAAATAAGGCCAAAGAAGCCGGGCCAGTGTGGCTCAGTGGTCGTCCTGTGAACCAGGAGGTCAGGGTTCGATTCCCGGTCAGGGCACAGGCCCAGGTTGTGGGCTCCATCCTGTGAGGGGCGTGCAGGAGGCGGCCGACCCGTGATTCTCTCTCATCATCGATGTTTCTCTCGCTCTCCCTCCCCCTTCCTTTCTGAAATCGATTTTTTAAAAAGTACCATAGATGCCCATACTGGGCACAGCATGAGCACAGCGTGGGGCAGGGACAGAGGGACGACGCTGTCCTCTTCGCTGTCGGGACGCGGTGGCCGCTCCTGCTGACCTGTGTTAGGGCCGCACTGGACTAGCTCCCAACGCCTCCGGCATGACTCACGCCTCCGGGAAAAGGCTCAGACGGCGGAACGTACCCTCGTCCTGTTGGTTACTCCGTCCTGAGTGCAGACGGTCCTATTCCAGGAGCTCAGACTGCACCGCTCCAGCCGCCTGTGCATTGTCCTTGAAGAATAATTGGACTTGAAATGCATTTAGACGTTTGAAAAAACAAGCCGCCTCTTAAAAGCAACCCTACCCCTCGCCTCCTCGGGGGCTCCTGTCCTCGGCTGAGCCCAGAAACACCGCGTTCCGCTGCGATTTCTCGTCCAGCCAAACCCTCTCAAGTTTCAGCTGGAACGGAAAGTGAGCTGCCTTCTGTCGAATCCAGTAACAGCCCCCGCCCCAGCCGGGCGCTCCCTAATCCAATCACAGCCCGACCGCCGGCCGCTCCCGCCGCAGGTCAATACCCAGCATTAACGCACAGCCCCCCGCACCGTCCGAGGACGGTCTCAAACGGCCTCACCGTCCAACTGTCCCTTTTCCTGGAGCAACTCAACTTTTTTCTTTCTTTTTCTTTTTTTCAAAACTCTTGCCTTTTGGAATCTGAACAGTGAGAACAATCGTCATGGCAACGAGCCACCAATTAGAGAGAGGCGCACAGCAGGGGGAAGACTGGCAGGTGTAGGCACACGCGTAAGAGCTACCGCAGAGCAACTCGATAAAGACGTGCCACACGGACAGCACACACGTGAGCCAGTGCCGCCCAAAGGCGCGGGTGGTCCCAGCCCTGGAAAGGCCTGTGAAGGAAAAACTCAAAGGAACAAAAAGGAGGAGGACGCCTTCTTGCAAAATGACCTGTGACTGTGGGACGGAGGCCTGGCCGTGGAGTGACAGGCTGTTAAAAATGACCATTGTGAAGTCGGAGGAGCAGCAGGAAAATGTCCCGGGTACGTGCTCCGTTAAAAACAGCATAATCACCCGCGAAATATGACGGGAAATACGGAAGCCGCCTCCAGCCCCGGGTTGGTGTGGAGAGGTTATCTGGGGGAGGAGGGAGGTATCTGCACTTACATTTTCACTTATTACAATAAAGTGTACATACCATAAAACCGATGATTGTGACCGTTTTTTAAAACATGTTTGTGTTGATGTGAGAGAGGAAGGAGAGGGAGAGAAGGGTGGAAACATCCATGATGAGAGAGAATCATGGATCAGCTGCCTCCTGCACGCCCCCTCCTGGGGATCAAGCCTGCAACCCGGGCATGTGCCCTGATGGGAATTGAACCCTCACCTCCTGGTCATAGGTCAATGCTCTACCACTGAGCCACACTGGCTGGGCTGAATTTAACCCTTTTTAAGGGTACAACTCAGGGGTAATAAGTACATTCACAGTGTTGTGCAACCATCCCCTCCCTCCAACTCCGGAACATTCCATCACCCCAACGTGAAAGCCCATACCTTTCAAACAGTAACTCCCCATCCCCTCCCCGGCCCCTGGCGGCCGCCCCTCTGCTTCCTGTTTTTGGATCTGACTCTCTCAGAGCCCCTGTGAGTGGACTCGGACAGTGTCTGTCCTGTGTGACGGCGATTGCACTTAGCGCCATGTCCTCACGGGTCCTCTGCGTTGTAGCCGGTGTCAGAATTCCCTTCCTTTACAGCTGGTACTACCCCACGTGTGCATGGACCAGGCCGGGTACTACCCCACGTGTGTATGGACCGGACTGGGATACTACCCCACGTGTGTGCGGACCGGACCAGGATACTACCCCACGTGTGCGCGGACCGGACTGGGATACTACCCCACGTGTACTCGGACCGGACTGGGATACTACCCCACGTGTGCACGGACCGGACCGGGATACTACCCCACGACTGCGTGGACCGGACCGGGATACTATCCCACGTGTGCACGGACCGGACTGGGATACTACCCCACGTGTGCACGGACCGGACTGGGATACTACCTCACGTGTTCATGGACCGGACTGGGATACTACCCCACGTGTGCATGGACCGGACCGGGATACTACCCCACGACTGCGTGGACCGGACTGGGATACTACCCCACGTGTGCACGGACCGGACCGGGATACTATCCCACGTGTGCACGGACCGGACTGGGATACTACCCCACGTGGGGGTGCGGGAGGCAGTACTTTTCAAGCTTTATCTTTAGTCAGTGAGCCACACCTTCCCAGGACGGTGCCTGGGCGGGACCTGTCACCTGTCACCTGTCACTGTCTGCTCGGCCCAGCTCCTCCTCAGCCTGTGCTCAGGCCACCCGTCGGGCAACAACCCACCACGGACCCAAGACAGCAGCCACCTGCCTAACCTGCATGGTGCTAACCGCACCTGTGTCACTCAGCCTAACCTGCCGGGGGGCGGGGTCCTACTCCCCGTTCCTGTGTGTGTGTGGGTGGGGGGGCGGTCATTCTAAGAGATGCACCTTCCCAGGGGGACCTGAGTCCACAGCACCCAGCCTCCTCCCCACCCTCCAAGGTCCTTCTCTTCTAATGCCCCCTGCCTGACCCCTCCCTGCCCACCGCCAGCCACCTGCCCACCCACCGCCAGCCGCCTCCCTGTCCCTGCCCTGTCCATACCCGGACCCTCAGGCCCAGGCGCGGAGCCCACAGCACAGTGCCGCACTCACAGCCACAGCGAGTTCCTCCCCTGCGTGATGACGGCCGTGAACCGGGTCAGCCGCCGGGCGTCCACCTCGATCCACTGGTGGAGGTCGTTCCTGCCCGCGCACCACGCCCCGTCGTAGAAGTCGTTCTCGCTGACACCTGCCTGAGAGAAGCAGACATGCTCTTCACAAAGGCCCGAGGCGGCAGCTCCTGGCCGGGCAGGGTGTCTGTATGGAAATTAAAACTGGAGTCCGGCCGGCGTGGCTCAGGGGTTGAGCGTCGACCTATGAACCAGGAGGTCTTGGTTCGATTCCTGGTCAGGGCACAGGCCCGGGTTGTGGGCTCCCTCCCCAGTGGGGCGCGTGCAGGAGGCAGACAAAAGGTGATTCTCTCTCATCATTGATGCTTCTATCTATCTCTCCCTCTCCCTTCCTCTCTGAAAGCAATTAAAATATATTTAAAACTAGTGGCCCGGTGCATGAATTCATGCACAGAAAGGGAATTAATTAGAAGAAATATTTTAATATCACTCTTCGCCCTTTCTCTATAATAGGAGTGTCAACCAGATTCACGAGCAACAATGACAGATGGAAACACACACGTGCGACTGGCGCCATGAGCGCTTTATATGTATCGCACATGTGTCAGTCAGCTTAGCCTTTTATAGACATAGAACAAACTTGCTTAGTTAGACCTGCTTTCTGATGTAGCTAAACTTTTCCAGCCCAGTGAAGCACCCCAACTTCTCTTTCAGGTAATTGTCAGCAGCACAGCAATAAATATCAACACGAAGCAGATTATTATTGTAGATCACGCAGGGAGAACAAAGGGTGAAATGTTTAACTGCAGCCGTGTCTGACTATATTCTGTGCAGTGAGAAAACCTGAAGTCACTTTCAAGGTCCACCATTTCTTACTCCTTTCCAGTTGGGTCAAGTTTCTAAACTTTCTAAATCTCCGTTTTCCGGCTAATGAAAAGAAAATAGGATTCCACTGAATCTCATGTCTACCTACCCCAGGACTTCTGTGAGGATCAAATGAGATGAGGCACGGGAAAACGCTTCACAGACATTTGGTTCAAGTGTGAAATGTTTGCACCTCATGTTCCTGGGCTGAAGAAACTGCAAGGAGGCTAGTCGTCGCTAGGGAGAGGAAGCCGGGTGTTGCTATGTGACATCATTACCCAGCGCCCACAGCCATCGTTTCTGGGCTGGACTGGGCTGTGGGCCACATTTTGCACCCTGGGGTCTCGGCAGCCATCTGGTGGGCTGTCGCTCTGAGGCGGAGGCAGGACCCATGTCCCACTTGGGGGAAGCCGAGTGTTGCTTTGTTGACACCAGGTCCGCGGTGCCGTTTCTTTATAAATGGCCAGTGTGCATCACGGCAGCTCCTGCATTGAGTGTCTGCCCCCTGGTGGTCAGTGCGCATCATAGCTACCGGTCGGATGGTCGGAGGGACACTTAGCATATTAGCCTTTTATATATATAGATTTTTTTTAAAAAAAAAAAAAAAAGCTCTGAACTAGATTATGAGGTGCCTGGACGGGGACCATGAGTCTGGACTGAACAGAGAGAATGGATCCAAAATGTATGTATTTTTTTAAAAAGGAAAAGAGTCCCATGTCACCACCCCCACTCCACAGAAGCCCTAAATTTTTCTCTGAAAACAAAACAAAAGAAAACACCACAAACCACAGAGGCCCCAGTGCACAGAGCCGGGCAGGTGTGACGTGACAGGTGACACGGGCTCGGGGGGTATCAGCCCGCTGAACAGTGAGATGCCCGGCCCCTCCCCGACCAGCTCGAGAGCACAGGCGGCCAGGCCAACAGCAAAGGAACCGAAGGTGTAAGGAGGCCGGGAGGCGCCTCGGGGACGGAGCCGCTGTGCCTGGAGGAGAAGTCGCTGCGTGAGACGGGGACAGGACGCCCTCCGAGCGAGCTCTCACGTGGAGACTCCAGCAACGACAACCGAGAACATGAGACCAGCACAGGGAGACGCCAGGGGAGTTTTTGGGGAGGAAATTACATTTAAAAAATGTTATCCGATCCTGTGCCAAATCTGCAGGGCCGAGCGTCTCGAGGGTAGGAACGGCACAATTATGACGGGAATGCTCATTTTCAAGTTTCCAAGACTTAAAATATTTGGTCCTGTGATTCCCATAAAAACCCAAACATCCAACATTCCAGCCTTTTGGCGCGCGCACGCCGCCGGCCAGACGCAGGCAAAACCTCTCTATCAGGGCGAGCAGGACGTCCCGTGGTTTGGAAACGAACCACCCACCGCGATCCATCTGCCTCCTGCGCAGGCCGCGCACTCGGGGAGCCCCGCGGGCTCTGTGCGGCCAGAGACCTAGGGTGGCTACCCGACCCCTCCCGCCCTCCCTGCAACCGGACGGTCTGACGGGCAGGCAGGCTCGGGGCAGAAGGCGCTGGGTACAAACGACCCCCTCGAGAAGCAGGTGGGGTTGGGGGTGGGTGATGCCTGAGAAAGTGAGGCTGCCCACCCCCTTCCTGCCAGGACCCACGTGGGCTCCACGTCTGGGCGAGCGGGGCAGGTGCCTGGGGCAGAGGGACAGGCAGGCTAATGCGCAGAATGTCCCCACGCACGTGAACTCTGACACCAGCATAAGCCTCGGGTCAGCGTCTGTAACTGACTTCCTGTCCTCCTGCGGGCACGTCTGCAGCCACGGGCACCCAGCGTCTCCGCGGCTCTGACCTCACTGCAGGGGTCACCGGGCAGATATGGCAGCAGGCGGACCTCGCTCACACCCTGCTCGACTGCCTTTCAATGCAGTTTCCAATCCTGACGCCTTAGTGCTTCTCGCACACAAAGCCCCATCCATGGGCACGCCTGCACGCCTGCCACCTGCACGCCTACACGCCTGCACACCTGCCGCCTGCACGCCTACACGCCTGCCACCTGCACGCCTACGCGCCTGCCACCTGCACGCCTACACGCCTACATGCCTGCATGCCTGCACGCCTACACGCCTACACGCCTACATGCCTGCCGCCTGCACAGGGGAGGCGAGCTGTGATTTTTAAACGCGTTCCAGGCGGGCGTGTGGGAAGACGCTGGAGCCCAGGCTTCCTGAGTCTGGTTCTGGAGGCAGGAGCCCAGCCGCCCGCATCACTTCCCCGGGGCTGTGCACTGCGGCCCCTCCCACGGCTGCAGCATCCGCTAACACTGCGTACCCACGGGGCGGGGAGCCCAGGGCGGGGACAGCCAGCCCGCCGCCCGGCTACCAGGCTGCCTCCGCACACCTGCGAGCAGGGGCGAGGGTGTGTCCGAGGCCTCAGGGCAGGCGACTGAGGGAAAAAGAGGCCCCGTGAGGGCACCCAGCACCCAGTGCTTTCCCTCCACCTGACTACATACATCCTCGCTGCGGGGGGCGGGGGGGACGCGTGTCTGCAGACCTGGCGGCCGGGAGCGTGCCCTCCGCCCAGCGGCCTCCCTGGGCTGAAGGACAAAGGCGGCAGAGGTGGCCGGGAAGCAAGCACAGCCAGGGAGCTTCCTGCGGACCCGTCCCTCCTCCGGCCTCGCCTCCCGTGTGCCCGGCGAGGGCAGGGCGGCCTGTGTGCACTCAGTAGCCCCGGAGAAGGCGCCGCCTGCTCTCAGGGCCGACGCTCAGCTGAGGCCAGCAACGCCTCCCCTGTGAGAGCTGGGGTCAGCGACCTCACTGTTACAGCCCCGTCCCCGAGGATGTTTCTCCCGCGGGTATTTTAGAGAGAGGGAAGGGGGGGGGAGAGGGAGAGAGAGAGAGAGAGAGACCACGAGGGGAGGGAAGCACATCGACTGGCTGCTCCTGCATGTGCCCCGACAAGTGGTCAGGACGGACCTGCAACTGAGGTGGGTGCCCTGGGCCGGGAATCGAACCTGTGACCTTCGGTCCGCAGGCTGACGCTCTAACTGCTGAGCCAAACCGGCCAGGCTGGCCCCGGGCAGGTGAAAGGTCGTGCAGGTGCCTGACCCCGCTCAGCCAGCCGGCGCGGCCACGGCCAGAGCGAGCGGCGTGCGATCCGATCGGACCCTCCCCGGCGGTACCTGGATGTTGAGCCGCCCGCGGTGCGCGCCCAGGCCGTAGCGCTTCACGGTGGACGCGTGGAGCTGGAAGTCCGTGATTTTTAAGGTTTCCAGGCCGAGGGGCGGGCACCCTGGAAGGACAAGGCTTGTGACCAACCAGGACAGACGTGGAGAGAGGCCAGTTTCTGGG